GCAAGACACGTTCTCATCAACAGAAAGCTGGCATAACACTTGTTTCCACCCCCGCAAAGAGCTATTTTCCATTCCATCAACTAATATCACATTAAATAAATAGCATCAATACAACTAACTGAGAGCTTCTAAAAGTTTCACAGCCATAATAAACAATCGCAAAATATTCAGTTAATTTTGATTCAGGTATTTATATGTAAGCGCAAAATACTGCCTTTTTTGTTTTCTTTCTAAACATTTTAATACTTGAACATCACAACAGATATTTTAAGATGTGTGGGGGCTAGTTTAAAAGTAAAATAAAAATCTAAAGCAGCTCTATCAGTCTGAAAGCAGCACCAACAGATCAAGTTTGAGAAACAAAAGCCAAGCATTTTGCTTATTTAACTCTGCCCCCCTTGATAAAGTGTTCCCTGAGGCTACTTCTACAACAGCACTGAATAAGAAAGAGAAGGAATTTGAAACATCTGAACTGGCAGCTCAATATGTAACTCAGTAGGACAACTCTGAAATCTGAGGGCTCTCCGTAGTTGTCACCTTTTACATTTGAGTCTTTCATAGGCTCCCTGAGTGTGGTAAGCTGGTCAAATTTAATAAATAAGAAAGCCTGAATTTTAGTCATTTCAACCCAGAAGCTGCACTTGCACAGCACTGCTGTACTGAACGGGGAATCTGGCCCAGTCCTTCTTCAGTAGCAAACACCTGATTTACCGTGCCTGCCTACGGAGGGTGATTTATTCTGCCTTTGTTATACACACTGAATGCTTCATTATCTTTATTGTGTTCAAGTTTTTAGAAGTTGCAATAATAAATGTATCCTTAGCTGTTATCTATGACACCTTCTCTCGCAAAAAAAAAAAAAAAAGCTAGAGCTGACGATTTCCTTAAGTAACCAGAGACAAGATCATTCAGGTCTTCATTCAGTTCAGTTGATAAATACAGCAGTATGTGCAGGGTTTTTTCTAACTGTATTTTAAGTTGGGCCTCCCCACTCTAAATACAGATCCGTAATCCTTTCATACTACAAAAAAGACACGAAGGAAACTTCACTTTATAAACCACTTTAAACGTTTATGGCATAGCATGCAAGAAAACCTTAATAGCCCTTTGACAAAATACAAAATAGAAATCACCTAAACAAGATACAAGGAATAGAAAAGAAACATTACCTAGAGAAGCAAGCTTGGAGCAAGAAGGAGGAGAGCACAGTTTATTCTTTTATAGGAGAGCAGTAATTTTACTGCAAGGTCAAAGGAAATTGAGGAACTCAGCTGTACTGGGTGGTGGCCCAAAGCAGGTGGGAGTGCACCAGATCATGACCAAAGGCTTCTCAGACCAAAAATTAACTTTGCAAGTTAAAAATGGACAGAACAAAAAAAACCCCAGTAAACCACAACCTGGAGGAAAATAACAGATTCCTGGTGTAGGCGATGAGCTCAGCCTAAGAAAGAAACCATGGGCATATTCTCTGAAAACCTGCAAAATAAAAGGCTTTTTAAACTTCTGTTACCAAGCAATGCATCTGGTAGTGGGGATTTGGCAGAGCTTACTGAAACATAGCAGTGGATGGGATGATAGCACATGGAAGCACAGGAAGAAAGACTCATCTTGTCACTGGGAAGTGCAAAATCAGCTTACAGAACCTATAAAGAGTATCAGTGGGAGGTGTAAGAAACCTGGCACACTGACAGAAAGTGCTACTTTTCTCAAAATAAAAAAACGTTTGGGTCAGATCATAAGAGATTGAATTCAGGCTACTTAAACAACCAAGAAAACCTGAATATAATTATTCAGAGATTAATATCACCTCTCAGTATCATGAAAACAGATATGAAAGCAACTACTTGTCTGAAGTCTTCATTGTGATAAAATATATTATCAATTGAAATCTGACATAAGAAAGCTAGAAGCTGATAAGAGTACACTTTCCGTTGGCTTTTGTTTGCATTCTACTGAGGTAAAGACCTCAGGCTATTGAGAAGCAAGACCTAAGCCACCATCAGGAACATGCTTCCTTCAACTGTATTACTATTTACTTTTTGGTTCTTTGCATACTCAATTTCTTCACTTACCACCCTGTTACAGAGAAGCATAGAGACTCATGTTCAGACATGCTCCTCGCTTGATCTTATTATGAATACTGCAGTCTTGGAAATACCAAGCAATATTTAGCAACCAAAGTAACATTAGGAGAGATAGTCAATTACTGCTTTCCAAGACGCTTGTATTTCACAGCAACATAGCACATCCATTTAGCACTGACAAAAGACAAAGAGCTGTGCCATGACACATTGCAATAAAAGATGATAGTAATACTTGAATATTGTCTTTTAATTAAGGAACCGCTTAAAGCTCACTAATTATAACTGCAACATTGTTACTGTTCTGCTCTGGGGTATGCTATCAGGAAAGTTATGGCATTGAAATTTGCTAAGTAAAGTGTTCTTATTGCCATGAAGTTTGCAAATCTTATCTAAAAAGATGGTTAAAAATAATGAAAATGCATTAGAGAGCACCAGTATGCAAGTCTGGAAGGCATATAGAGTATTGGCAATAACCTAGAAATTGCCTTTGCGTACAGTCTGAATAAATTGGACTTCTATAAAATTGACTGAAAGAACTCTTGTCCATGCACACATTTTTCATTTTAAGTGCACTATAGCTGTAAAGAATAGGGATGCCGTTCTGAAGATTCTTAATATGCTAGAATTTTCCCAGAAGAAAGCAACAGAGAGAGTTCCTGCATCCTGGATTTCAAGAGAGGAAGAAAACCCCTTAGCTCAATGGAAGCTATAAATATCACAGAAACATGCAACTACTAAAAGTCTCAGGGGTTTTTTGCCTCCAGTAAAGAGGCTTAAAATTTATGTCACTATCCATGACATTAAAGATGTCCCAGATACCAGCACCTGACAGAGATAATGAGGGGAAAAAAAAAAATCACATTTCAGAGAATATAAGTTTAAAAACAAAGGGAACATTTTAAGCCTTGATCGGAACAAGTAGAAAATTAAGTAACTTCCTGCTTTCAAGGTCTTTATTCTTAGAGGATGGTGGTTGTAGTGTTGCTACAAGACCACAGTAGCTCTTTCACAGAAGGAGCACGCTGAGCAGGTAATGACTGAACATGAAAGCAATGGCTGGGACACTGTTAGTCAGGCCATGAAGAAGTTAATATGCAGGAGGTAAAATGAAAGAAGGAACAATGAAGAGGTGAAACCAGGCAGATGAAGCATTTCTCCTGAGAACCTGGGCTAAACTGACATATTGAATGCATGCTAGGGGACAGACAAGTAGCTTTTAGGCAAGCCTGCATGTTTCACTTATCTTCTGATACAACAGAGCAATAAGTACCAGTGGTTTTGGTAGCATGTTTTTCAGCATGTAAGTCTCCCAAACATGCAATCCCAGAGAAACCAGACAAGGAAAAACTGCTTCATTACCACTTGTCTGGTTTATCAGTTTGCTCACACTGACAGTAAATGCTTTGCTGCACGTCAGAGAGGAAAAACATTCCCGTACTTACTCAGATGTGTACGTATCTGATTAAATACTCCACTTACTGAAACGGTGTGTGGCAGAACATCAGCTGTACAAGACAACACAGCAAAGTGAGCTGAGTAACTGCAGGGAAAGGACAACTAAGTACTTTTTGTCAAGTGTGCCAAGGAGGGCCAACAACTCTTTTTTCTGCGATACATCCTGAAGAATTTTGGCACTTCAAAACGAGCAAAGCTCCTACAACATTTGAAAGGCAGATTTCAGGAACTAGGTCAATGCTCAGCAACGTGCTATTTGTATCTCAAACATAAGGACTGCATGATATTCAAGCAAAAGAGAGAATTACAGCTTCTCATGTTGGTATCTCAGAGTTCATCTCCCACAAGTTCACTGAGATAAAGTTGCATCAATTTGTTAGAAATGTTAATGGTCATAGTTAACATTTGCATTGCCACCCACAGATCAGTTTGGCATTCAGGCTTTGTACAATTGCAATGTCTAACATTTTTTTTTAAAATCATTTGGCTTCCCTGAGGCCAAATATTATCATCTGAGCATATTCATGTGAGTTTGCTCTATTCACTCTGGAGTCCTCTTAGTCATGTAATTCCAGCATATCCTTTAGTAGTAACTGGGCTCTTTTCCATGTATTTGCAAGATGACCATCTTTTCTATACATTCATTCAGCTTGATCTGGATGCCACTCCATACAATGATTTTTCTCACAGTGCTAACCATATTCCTGGTTAATTCTGCCTTCACTCAGGCAGACTTTCTGCCAACAGCATTGTATTCAGGAACACACTCTAAAGGTACTTAGAGTATATGAAATCCAGGAATATTTCTGTATTTTGTCTTCCTTATGTATTCTTTGAAACGTTCTTTTATCCAACTGTTTGCTATGTACTTTTTCACACAATAGCCATTCCAAATTCTATTAAAAAGAAAAAAATATTTATGGTGCGAGTGTATCCCTTCACTCTCCTAAGGTTTCATCTAAAAATTAACAAAACAATTAAGACTGAAATCCTTAATTAAGGTGGAGGAGGTCTGGATTTCACTCTGGACTTTTTAACAGATCACTTCTTTCCTTCATCACTGTCCAGCCATGCCTAAAGGCAGGCCTTATGTCATACAGAAGTCAGGACATTTACAGATTTCCACTCAAAAATGACTTATTTTAGAATGATAGTTTAGGTCCTCCTCACCCTTCCCTTCCTTTCCCTTCCTCTTAAATTCAAACAAATAAAGGCTCCTTCCAAAGACTTTGGATAGATTTCATCTTAAGGACAGGAAAATACTGTGTGACAACAGTCTAGAACGGACACTGGTTTGTCCCCAGGACGTTAGTTAATCCTAAACCAGGATGTTAGTTAATTCCTTAATTCTCACTGAGCTTCACCAAACAGCTCTAATTTAAAAAGCCATAAGAAAACCAGAAAATGTGAACAATGTAGTTAATTACACAAAAACAAAGCAGTGCCAATATTCATACTTACAGGCTGAGGCTGTTCTGCAATACAGCAGTTGAAACACAACCAGAACTCACTCATTGTTTACAGTCTGAAGTGGGAACACAGATGAAAAGCAGGACTCAGCCTCCAGGTAGCAAGTTCGTTAAATAGGTTTATTTATAACGGTTCCAATGTGAAAATCTTTTCTCTGTTGAGCTCTTCTCCAAAGACAAGTCAGTCCCAGGACAAACAACTTGAAGGCAAAAAGTTATTTTAGTCTTCTTTCAGAAGGTTGGTCCCAGCACCACAGAAATGTTATGTATGCTTCTTTGGTCCCTAGCGTTATGTGAACCTGAAAACAGAAGTACATTACATCAAAAAGAAAGAATATACACAATCTTGTGCTCCCAGACAGACACCCACACCAGTGATTTCTTGGTAATATCTTGAACCACAGACTAAAAAGACACTAGTAAACAAGTCATGTGCTTATTTCTACAGTGACTACCAAAAATGGCATATACCAGAAATCTGTATGAGGCTGACATTCGAGCTTGGTTAGATGAAGTGTTATCAAGAAATGGTGTCCAATGTTTTGGTAGCCATCTCTGTTTGATCTGCTACTAACTTTCAAATGTAATTTTAGAATTTGACAATTGCCCATAAATCGCTTTAAACTTCTTAGGGAATAGTGCCTATTGACACTTCACATTTCTCAATGAAAAAGTTACTCAGTTCATTCACAGTCCGAGTTTTAAATAGTATTTAACCCTAACTCTGTTGCACAGCTGTCAAGTCAAGCAAAGGCATGCTTTTCTAAATGTTGAGGAAACAAATAAATAAATTTCTGTATATGGAAAATTTGCAAAACGTCTGGACTTGGTCAAATCAGGGTATTTTCCTTCCACTGTCTCTACCCTCCTGCATCACATACAGTTGGCTACAAAATGGGAGATTACTTGTAGAGCTTAAAACTGTTTCCTTAAACCTCTAAAGTTCCTCATGTGGAACAACTGAGGCTCCAGATTCCAACCACTGCTTTGCTAAAATAATGTTTATTGGTTAATCTCTAACCCGGTTTCTTTCAGTAAAAGTCCAATAAAAATTCCTGTAATATTTCTCCTTGGTCATTTATCTTGCCGTCTGTCATAAACTTTGCTTGCAGAGAAAGTGAGATAATGAATATTCAGAAGTTTTTACATGCATGCTCTTCAATAATCCTATATACAACTGCATCTTTATTCATAGAAATGTGTGCATAACTATGCATAATTATTTGTATGCAACAGTGTGAAATCCAAGAACGAAAATAACTGAAATTCTCTAAAGAAGTTCTCACTTCGTAATTAGGTAGCTTCACATCATTTTCTTAATTCTGCTTACTGAAAATTTGATCAACTTTAAACAGCAAGAACTGGACTAGCGTAGAAAAGCTTGATAAGAAAATACTGTTCTCTGCAGAATTTGCATGCTACACAATTATACTCTAAACTTGATTCCCTATGTAAGAAAATTGGAACTAAAACATGGTTAACTCCTGTTAAGTATGTAACAGCTGACAATTTTAGTCCAGTAACTGTACAGCTTCTCTCTCCTTAAAACTTGGTGTTAACTTCTGAGAAGATAGGCTCCAAGTTGTTCTGAAACACAGCAATGCTCCCGCAGTGCTAGCTGTTCAGATTATGGGAAACTGAGAAAGTAAGTATTCAGAGAGCATTTTGAAGCTTAATATATCATAACCTACCAGAGCTACAAACAGACACCTTGCAGTGGGCTTCTCTTGGCTGGGCAAAGGACCCAGTGTTCTGATTTGCAGCTCCTGACAATCTGACACTCCTATTATTGCTTCCTCACAATCTCTTTTTGACAAAGTCCAAATTTAACATATGAAACTATTGTTCTCACAGAGGGTTAACTTCCATCCTGCTGTTACATCCGTGTACAGAAGACATACATGGAAAGGGCAGGGAAATTCCTCTGTCGATCCATCTCTGTTTGCTCATGATAGCTGGCACGCTCCTCCTGCTCACTGCACCGTTAAGAGTCTCCTTGAGCTCAAGCCCTGGGAACATACCCAAAGGGCTTGTGCATGCTCCTGTGAGCCTGGAAGGCTCTTCCTGGTTACAAAACACTCCAGGGTGCAGATGACTTTCTCCACCCAGTCACTTTCAGCATGCAGGACTTGGGCCCTCCAGGACAGAGATCTCTTTGAAACTGACCTCCCCACCCCTCAATCAAAACCTGCTGAATGACAAAGCCAAGCTAGAAATGGTGAATAACAGTCTCTGATACCACGTTCATTCTTAGAAATGTATTTTACCTTCCACAGTCTGTACAGTGCCACATTTGCCTTTAATTTCATGGTTCTGCAATCAATACCAAGCAGTTTTTCAATCTGTTGCCTTTTAATTAAAAAAAAAAACACCCCAAAAAACCACAAAACAAACAAAAAAACAAAAAAAAAACCACCAAAAAAACACCCACAAACACGGTAGTGGGAGGACATATCTGTACATTTGGAGAAAACTGACAGTAACTGCACCTCTTAAAAGGAAAATAAAAGCTTAGCAGTATTTGCTAGAGCACTAGAATTTCATACACCTCCACTCTGCTAAACAAATGATTTTTACAGTGGCCAAGTTAATATAAAAGATCAGGTATAAATCTGCTGCACCAAAATGGAAAGAAAAAGCAATTAAAGTGAAGGCAACAAGGCATATCAGCACTGCGATATCAAAAGCAACACACTAGGACCTCTCTCACACTGATAGTTCCTTGTTTAAAGAACAAGTTGAAACAGGAAAATTCTGCTGTTCTTTTCCAAATTATTTGTTATAAAGAATCAAAGAAAAAAGCACCATACCGATCTACAGCTCCAAGGCAGCTAATTATGTAGTATCAGCCCACTAGCAATCTCATGAGAAAGCATGCCTGCAAAGCCTGGACTCTACCCCAAACCTAGCTGCAATTCACGAGATCCCAAAACATGTGCAATACTTCACAGCTAGTTCTCTGCTCTGTCATAGGATCAAGCTTTTGAATATGGCACTGTTCGCAAGTGTTGCTGCATCTGTCTGTGCAGACTTGCCAGATAAAGATGACAACAGAGGCTGAAGAACACAGCTCAAGACAACAGCTCTGCCACTCTTTGTTTTCGCTCTCTATGCAGTTATATGGTGCTCAGCGTGGCAGAACACCATACAGCTCACGTCGCAAAGACAAGGCGCTTATTCTGCCTGAACCGGAAAGTTAATGAGAGTGGTGAATGCTAAAACCCCAATTTGCCTTTTCCCATTTAAACTTTCTGAACTCTGAATGCAACTCATTTTAGTGTACGACTCACATTGCAAGAACACACACGACTATCATGCTGAACAACTTTGTCACATTCTAAGGCTTTTATACCTTACCTAGGACTTTAACCCCATTTCCAGAAATTTTAAGTAGTATGAAGAAACAGCAATATTAAAAAGGACACATTGTTTAAAATTTCAAGTGAAACCCAATAAGGTAGTTTTCATTATTTATTCCACATTAGCTGATCTAACGCATTCTCTTACAATATCATCAATTTTTCTTATTAAAGCAGTATTAACTTTTCTGTAGGAAATAAACAGCAGGAAAGGAGGAAGGGTTAAAAAAATTAATCGATCTCCCCTCCAAGCTCTTCACGTTTACCAGAAAAAGAAGGCTAGAGAGCATTTACCTTTGTTGATCCAAGCAGGAATATGCTGCATGCAGTGGAGGGTCAGTTAGAACAAAGGTACTTATTAATTATATAGCTTAAGAACAGCCCACTGTTTTTAAAAAACACCTATAAAGTTCCTTTTAAGGGTGAGCTCTCTATACCCTTTGACTGCATACTCTTCACTGTGGCTTCAAACAGGAAGTGCAGTAACAATGCTCTTTGACAATTACTTGTAGCAAATAAAACCACAGGAAGAGAAAGAAAACGACTGCAGGTGTTAACATCTGAATTTAACTAGATTTGCTCCAAAGCTCAGACTACTATTTGGCAGGGAAGGGGGGGTAAAAAAAAAAGGTGAAGCATGCACAAAGTCATGAGTAAGGATGCCATACCATGGTACGTCATGAGATGCATGGATACGTGCGCACAAAGTCACAACCAGGACTACTACTAGTTTTTTAGTCTCAAGTACTTCATAAGAAAGAAATTTACACTTATTCTTGATACAGAAGTATCGTTCTCTAAAAGATTTTTTTTTTTTGCCTTAAAGGCAATAGCCGTCATTTGTTTCAATCCTGCAAGCTGAAAGTAGAAAATTATCATTTCAGAGTGTATTTTTAAGACTTCTTTCATATTTTTCACTTTAAAACTTCATTGTAGCCACACTATTTCCTCTAGCTGCTTAGCAGATACAGTCAAGTGGCAGCAAGAAATGAGAGGAAGGGGGGACTAAGGTGTGTCCAAACCGACAGAGAGGTTGCACTGCTGCACACTTCCATACACCTCAAGCTGTAGCAAACAGAGGATGCTTTCCAGCTCTCACAGGAAGTGATGTGTTTACTTCCTTGCAAGACTCATTTTTTTAAATAAAACAGCCTATAGAAGGAGCAATAGAGGTTTTAAGCAAACACTACCTTTAGGGAAAGTTGCCTTCATGGATAAATTTTGTATCAGAAACCGTCTCACCAGCGCAGTGCACTTGCAGAAGCACTCTCCCTCCCTTCCCCCCAGCAGAGCAGGCACTTCTGGGGACTTTGGCACTTTTAATGCACCAATTATCTTTTGCACTTTCAGATCCTGAGAAACCCGAGCTGCAAGTAACTCCTGCCAGACAAAGGACAACATTCACCACCGACAGAGGCTGAAATCCCTTTTTCACTTCCTCATAACTTTCCCATATCTATTCGGCCACCCCCCTCACCTGAAGTGCTTTAGGGTTTAGTTTCAGGACATTGAAGAAGCTTCTTCTAAGTTTGAGTTGGACTTTCTTGTGCATTTTCAAACCCTGAACACATACGTCCTGACTCTGTGAAAAGATGTTTTATTCATCTGTTTAAGATACAGTCTTGAACATTATGACTAAAGCTATTTATAAGATTTTATTATATGGTTTTATTTTGGGATTACTGGT